CTTGCAGGGGGTGGTGTTCCCATGTATCTGCTGCCCTTGTCCTTCTAGATGGAAGTGGTCGTGGGTTTGGAAGGTGCTGCCTGAGGAAGTTGAATGCTGCAAGTAATCCAATATCTTTGTGTTCTGGCAGATTCCATGGCTTCACATGCTGTACTCTGCAATCGCAGCCATTGTTTTTACTCTGGTAAGTGATGTTGGCTTTTATCAGTAAATCATGTCCAGTTCTCTGCCAGGCTGACTGTCAGGTCAGACGCTCACTACAAGCCTAACTGTATCCTTAATGCTACAGCGTAAAGCTCCCTCTCTACTGTCCCCATCAAACACTCACAGGACAGGGACAGCATGGGGTTAGATACAGAGTAAAGCTCCCTCTCTACTGTCCCCATCAAACACTCCCAGGACAGGAACAGTGTGGGGTTGGATTGAAAACCCTCTAGACTGCCACAATTTCTGGATGGAGCTCCCCCGATTGTATGAATGTGACATGGCCATTTCCTGCTCTAGTTGCCTGTTTATTCCAAAGCTCGCCACCATTTCACAGCTGATCAGACATTAACAATCACCCTGACTCATGGTGCCACAGCAATGCAGAGCTGTTGTCCTCGGACATTGACACTGACCCTGCCTGGTGAAGCAGGGGAGCAGTTTCCTCTCTCTTCCCCTCCCTCACGATAAGTTGGGGGTGGTTGGGGATATTGTGGGCCCTTCCTCACGACATCTGCCTTCTCTGACAACCTGGATCGTTCCCACATGTCTGCTGGTGCCTGCACCCCACCCTTCAACATTCATTAATCCTCTCTCCCTTTCTCTCCCTGTCTCTGTTTCTCCCTAGTTCTTGGCGTTTGACACCCAGCTGATCCTGGGAAACAGGAAACATTCCATCAGCCCAGAGGAGTATGTTTATGGTGCACTCAGACTCTATGTAGACATTGTACAAATCTTCATCCACCTTCTTCAGTTGTTTGGATCCAGATGAAGACACAAGGTGCAATGTTGTTACAAGCAAAACTCCTTGGCTTCCTTCATTCTCGCCTTTCTTTGTCCAAAATAACCTCGCGCTTGTAGAATGTAGGAAAGACATTACCTTCAACGCAATTAGAATCGTTAGTTGTAACTCCAGTTCTCAGAGTTCCTGGACTATCCAGCCTAGTGCCATCCTGCTCTCAGAAAGGAATTAATTACAAAGTAGAACAGCAACTGCTGGAGAAACTGAGCAGGTCTGACAGCCTCTGTGAAGAGAGAATGACACAGTGAATGTCTCTGGTTAATGAGATTTGATGAGAACTGGAAAAAAGCAGAACAGTTTTTAAATAAGCCCAAACTACAGGGATAATGAACAAAAGAGGGTTTGGGATAAGCTGAAAAGTAATTGATCAGAAACATTAACTGTGATTTTCTGTGCACATACTGCCTGACCTGCTGAGTATTTCCAGCATTTTCTGTTCATTTTAGACTGTTCATTGTGTTCAGCCTGAAGCATTCCTCACAGATACATGGTGCCACTTGAGGATCAGGATATCAAAGTCGTAACTTTCCAGGCAGCATTGATCCCAAGATCCTATTGACTTTAGAGGTTTGGAGAGCCTACACTGAGTACTTGGAAACACTGGAGAGGTCCCACCTGTGTCACCTTCCCAAGATCTTCCAAATTGAAGGGCAGGAGAGGGAGTCCGTCGGCAATGTCCTCCCCATGCCATTGAGGGGCCAGTCTATCCAAATCATCTCCACTGCACAGCCTGTGTCGCTCGTGAGCCTGATCCCGGGTTCCCAATGAGACTGCTCAACTGGAGTCTCCCAGGAGGATGACAGGAAACACTTTTGGGACATGCTCAAAGTTTCCCTGAAGAGATCAAACATCCCCTGATGACCCATGGAGACCCTGGCCTGTGAACGACCAAAATGGAGAAAGTTCACTCAGGAAGACCCCTAGGATATCGGGAGACTCTTATCGGGAAGATGCGGAGCTGAAGATGAGCTGTCAGAGGGAATGGCATAAACGCCCAATCACCCACCAACCCAACCCTCCAAACGCAGCAGAGCCTGCAGATCATCCTAGAAGCCATCGAACCCTGACTGGGAACAAGTCCCCCTCAGTCCCAGCTGAGAGACCCGGCTGAGAAAGTGTGATCACCGATAGTTATACAAAGTGAACGTCATCGGTCTCCAATCCACTCAATAACCACAGGAACATAGGTTGAAGGCAATTGGCAAAAACGTGGAGGAGGTGATGAGGAGAACTGTTTGCGTTTTCCTCAGTGAGTTGTTGTAAATTGCCTGGAAGGACGATTGAAGCAGGTTTAATAGGAACTTTCAAAAAAGGGAATTGGAGAAATGGTTAAAGGTGGAGAGTTTTGGTAAGGAGCAAATGGGGGAAATGGGAAAACCAGATTTCGCAACCAAAGAGCCAGTATAGGTGTGATGGGTTGAATGGCCAGCCTGTGTAAGAGATGATGGTTGTTTTGTTATTCTCTGACTGACTTGACTTTAAGCTGTGTAACCCTGTCTACGTTTACCATAAAACTGAGAGTACCTTACTCATTATGGTTTAACTTATTTGCATCTGAACATGAGAACACAGTCACATGCTCGTGTCAGCCAACAGCCAACGTTCTGTTTGTTTTATTTTTCTGAATGGTGCAGATGAACTCTTCTTCAGAACTTGGACAATAAACACTGGCTGAAGCAGCTATGACCACATTCCAACAATGATTGAAAAAGTACCAGGAGGAAGCGATTCAGCCCCTCGAGCCTGTTACACAGGTATGGGAGGAGACCACTCAGCCCCTCGAGGCTATTACAAAAGAACAGGAAGAGGCCATTCAGTTGCTTGAGACTGTTACACAGGAATAGGAGGTGACCATTCAGCTCCTTGACCTGTTACACAGGAACAAGAGACCATTCAGCCCCTCGAGGCTGTTGCAAAAGAACAGAAAGCGGCCATTCAGCCCCTTGAGACTATTACGTAGGAACTGGAGGAGACCATTCAGCCCTTCAAGCCTATTACATAGGAACAGAAGAAGGCGATTCAGCCCCTCGAGTCTGTTACACTGCTGGTTAAACTCCTGGTCTGTTCTACATGTGACTCCAGACCTACAGTGATGTGGTTGACTCTTAACTGCCCTCTGGGCAATTAGGGATGGGCAATAAATGCTGGCCTAGCCAGCGACACCTTCATGGCGTGAATGAATAAAAAAGATTCAACCTTTCAAACCTGTTACACAGGAGCAAGAGGAGGCCATTTAGCCCCTTGAACCTGTTACAAAGGAACAGAAGGAGGTGATTCAGCTCCTCAAGACTGTTAGATTTGAAATAGGAGGCCATTCAGCCACTCGAGCTTGTTACATAGGATCAGGAGGAGGCCATTCAATTCCTCAAGACTGTTCTGCCATTTGGCAAATCGTGATGATGTATATCTCCATTCCATTTATCTGACTCAATCTACTATCCCTTGATTTACTAATCCAATAAAAAATTCATCAATTTCAGTTTGGAAATTTTCAGTTGATCCTCAAACCCCTCAGGATTCAGGAAGAGAGAGAGTTTTAAATTTCCACTTGCCTTTGGCTGCCATTGTGCTTCTTGGTATCACCCCTGAATGGCTCAGTTTGACATGAAGATGTAGTTTCCTACCAGAGGAAACATTTCTCCTGCGCTGAATCTTTCAAGTCTTTTTGGTCACTTTGCATATCTCAATCAGATTGCATCTCAATTTTTGAAATTGATGAGGTTGCTCTGCATTATTGTATTAACATTATAATGAACAGTTGCTGCTTTACAATTTTACTTACCTGCTGAATGTTTACAAGGTTTGTTTCAGTCTCTATTCTGTACAATATTGTATTAAAATGCTTTTGATTACAAGTTGCAGTCGAATGTGAGTGAACATTTTTAAATAGAAAAATGCTGGATTTGGAAAACTACCAACAATTTTAAAAAATCATTCTGTGGACATGCATGTTCTGATCATTTATTGTCCATTCCATCCCTAATTGCTCTGGAGGACGTAATGGTGAGCTGTCTTCTTCAGTCACTGATGTCCTTGGAATGTGGATACACCCACATTTCAATCAGGGAAAACCTTCCCTCTGTAAGGTCAGAAGTGGGGATGTTTGCTGATGATTGCGCAAAGTTCAGCACCATTTGCGACTCCTCAGATACTGAAGCAGTCTAAGTTCAAATGCAACAAGATAAAATCCAGGTTTGCCTGACAAGTGACAGGTAAATTTAGTGCCGCACAAATGTCTAGCAATAACTGTCACCACCAAAACAGAATCTAACCATCTTCTCTTGACATTCATTGGCATTATGTTCTCTGAATCCACCATTGTCAATATCCTGGGGGTTACCATTGACCAGAAACTCAATTGAATTCACCATATAAACACAGTGGCTGCAAGAGCAGGTTTAGAGGCTAGGAATCCTGCAGGGAGTAACACCTCCTGACTTGTGCATTGTAGACAGCCTTTGGAGAGACAGGAGGGGAGTTACTCACTGTAGGAATCCTTGCCTCTAACCTGCTCTTGTCGACACTGTTTTAAGTGACTGGTCCAGTTCAACTTCAGGTAGTTGGTGACCCTCAGAATTTTGATGGTCGGGGATTCGTTGTTGGCAATGCCACTGAATGTCAAATGGAGAAGATCATTGCCTGATATTCGTGTGATGTAAAAGTTACTTCACAACTGCTGGAGTCTAAGATCCTGATGATTTGTGTTTTCACGGAGGGAAGGGAGATGGTGGAGCAATTAAAAGCAGGGTTGTGCGAGAGGCTAGAATCAGAGAAACAGATATTGGGGAGGACTTTGAGTATGGAGGAGGTTAGAGAGAATGAGGAGGTCTAAGATCATACAGGGACTTGGAAATTAGGAAGAAAATGTTTAAATCGAGGTGTCACTGACTAAGTACAAGTCAGCAAGCGCAGAGATATGGGACTTGGTGCGAATTCAGACACTTACTTTCCAAGTTCACTGGTCCCAGTCAATCATCTAGTTAGTCCTGGTCGATACCCTGACTAGAGACCTCCAGACTTGACAATTCAGCATTGAAACCAGGACCAGAGCCAAACTCTATTAGATGGACTGAAGATACAATTGAATAGTTTTCTGGAAGAAGATGGTAGGTGCATGGTCTGAATTCTGATGTGTCAAGAGAGATTGATCAGTTAGGACTACATTCACTCTCATTTAGAAGAATGAAGGGGGAATCTTATAGAAGCTTATAAAATTCTAACAGGACTAGAATAGGTCAAAAGTAGGAAGAGTGTTGCTGATGGTTGGGGGCGGGGGGAGAGTCCAGACCAGGAGTCACAGTCTAAGGAAATGGGGGAGGCCATTTTGGATTGAAATGTCTTCACCCAGAGAGTGGTGAGCCTGTGGAATGCCCTGCCACTGAAAGCAGTTGAGGAGAAATCATTGAATGTTTTTAAGAAAGAAATATAATTCTTAGGCCCCTGTTCCCCCTTTCACCCTATTCCTTTTGATCCCTTTAACCCTAAGTGATATGATCATCCAAACCTGAAGGGCCAAATGGCCTACTCCTATTTTCTATGTCTAGTTCTTCAAGAAAAGAAACAAAGTTTTATAGATAGTAGGAACTGCAGATGCTGGAGAATCTGAGATAACAAGGTGTAGAGCTGGATGAACACAGCAGGCCAAGCAGCATCAGAGGAGCAGGAAAGCTGACGTTTTGGGACTAGACCCTTCAGAAATGGGGGAGGGGAAGGGGATTCTGAAATAAATAGGGAGAGAGGGGGAGGCGAATAGAAGATGAATAAAGGAGAAGATAGGTAGAGAGGAGACAGACAGATCAAAGAGGCAGGGGTGGAACCAGTTTCATATTCTGTCACAGGCTTTTGCCTGATTGTAGCTCAGTGTCACCTTCTAGTGGTTGTTAAACATGTTACAACTTTTCAACTTTAACAGAATTGCACTTGACAGCATCGGCTGCTCACAGATAGCAAGAAAAACAAAGTTGCTGGAAAAGCCCAGCAGGTCTGGCAGCTTCTGTGAAGGAAAAAAACAAGAGTTAACATTTCTGGTCCGGTGACCCTTCCTCAGAAATGGGGGAGGGGGAAGGGAGCTCCGAAATAAATAATTTATTTTGGATCTCCCTTCCCCCTCCCCCATTTCTGAAGGGTTCTGACCCGAAACGTCAACTTTCCTGCTCCTTTGATGCTGCCTGACCTGCTGTGCTTCTCCAGCTCCAGTGTGTTATCTCTTGCAGCATAGGTTGTTTGGCATAGTATTACAGTAACAGCTCCTTGTTATAACTCAACAAATCCTACTGTCCCTCCCCCTTCCCATTGCCCTTTATCTAGTCCAAACTAATCCCATTGCCCTACTCTCTTCCCCATAGCCCTGTATCAATCCCTAAACTAATCCCACTGCCCCACGCTCTGCCCGTAGCCCTGTATCAATCCCCAAACTAATCCCACTGCTCTGGTCTCTCTTGACCTTTATCTTCCTCTTTTTAAACTGCATAACTAATTGTTCTTTAAAAGATGTGCTGGTCTCTGGTTTTGGAAAGTAATTTCCCCTGGGGTTGCTGTACATTGCCATTAGCACAAGAAAAAGCTAAAAGACATTAGGAAGCAGAGGATTGAATGTGTGGCTGAAGAGGTGGAGTAGAAGGGAGGGTTTGAGATTCTGGGATGACTGGGACTGTTTCTGGGGAAGGTGGGACCTCTATAAATGGGATGGTCTGCACCTGAACGAGAATCTTCTTTGTGGTCGATGGTGTTTGCTAGTGCTGTTAGTGGGGGGTTTGAACGAATTTGGAAAACGGAACAGGAATAGATGGGGTCTGAAGAAGTCATACTGGACTTAAAATCATAAATCTGCTTCTCTCAGATGCTGGCAGACCCGCTGAGTTTCTCCAGCATTCTGTGTTTGTTAGAATGGATATGATGGGCTGAAGGGTCTATGACACACTGCAACCACTGGTGAAGGTGGTGGATGTGATTCCAGTTGAGCAGGTGGCTCTGCCTCAGATGGTGTCGAGCTTCTTGAGTGTTGTCGGTGTAACCATTAATAGCAAACATTTTATTGAGGAGTGTGCTGGTTTATCAAGAGGTCCACATCATCATTGTAGAAACATATACTAAATAATAGACATAAATATAGGGGTATACACATCACTGTTATACTTTCTTTACAGCAAAAATCATTTAAATAATAATACAACTTAGCAGCAGAGAGACTTCTCATTCACACCCTCAAGTGACTACTCAGACATCGCAATACAGTAAACTTCTGGTATTTTAAGGTATGTAATTTTTGCCAGTTTATCAAGAATGCCAGTTTAAAACAAAGCTGCAAATATTTACATAAAAATCACTCAAAGTACAGAGGGAAATATGAATCACATACATCTTTATTACAGTTATACTATAGAAAGCAAAGTGAAATCTCAGACAATATCAACAGCGATGACACTACAACCATCATGTACTGATGGTAATGTTGTAATGTACAACCATCAAAGCTACAGAGCTGTCTTCCTACACACTTGTGCAGAAATCAGGTCATCTGATAATTAGATGCTCGGTCAACTCAAAGGCAAACTTTTCTCCTCCATCCCAGCAGCCCCACTATCAGGAATATTCCCAGGATGTGGGGAAAAAAGCCAAGTGCACAACTGAGTTTGTCCACTTAGTTCCTGTAATAATTTGAGAGTGGGAGAGACTGAAGGCTGGCAGCCTCCCCGAGGGCGAGTGGGAAACGAGAGGTGCTGGGGACTTTGACCATCAGCCGGGATTCTATGGTTTACTTTGTGAGGCGATGATCTGCCGGTCATGTTCCTCCAGCTTGGGCTGGTATCGTTCACTCTGGTATTCGCCCTCATTGGCATTCTTCATCCTCTGCCTGATCTTCAACTGCTTCAGACGGTTCTTATCAACCTCTCGTTTAGCAAGGAGAAAGGTGATGATGCCGGATGGCAAACCAATTAACCTGGAGGAGAAATGAGCAGGAAAATGGGTAGGATTTACAGGACAATCTGAAACCTGCCTGTGTGAACTCAGCAGAACACAGAAACAAAAGCAGGTAACAAAAGATAGCAAGTATTGGCCAGCTTCACTTACACTGACCCCTTGACAGACCCACCCTTAACTAGCTCACCTCTTAGTGCGGACCTGTCACTGTGGGACTGACCTGTCCAGTCACAAATGCCTGTCAACCATTACTCTTTGCTTCTGTCCCTGAGCCAATTTTGGACCAAGTTGACACCTTGCCTTGGATTGCTTGTGATTTTAATTTTCTGATCCGCACCCCTCACCCCTCCTTATGTGGGACCTGATACAAAACCTCACAAGAACGAATGTAGGCGACATCAATCCTACTCACATCATTGAACTGAAATTGTTGGAAGAACTCAACAAAACCGAAGAAGGGTCACTGAACCCGAAACTTGGACTCCGTTTTCTCTCCACAAATGCTGACAGATCTGCTGAGGTTCTCCAATGAGTTCTGTTTGTGTTTCTGATTTTCAGCATCCATAAGTTCTTTGTTTTTTTAAATCCAGCTCATCAAACTCCCTTGTTACCTCATCATAAAATCCAATTGAATTAGTCAGACAGGACCTTCGCTTCTCAAAGGGATAATTAGATGCTAGGTCAACACAAAGGCGAACTTTTCTCAAATCTTCTTAAATCTGTCCTGATTGGTTTTGATTAATCTTTCCAAATAACAATATATGACATTAATTTCAAATGTTCAGAATAATTAAGGTAGGCTGATTGAGTAACTACAGGTCAATCTGTCCTTTTTCAAACGATGATACAACACAGGTGAATTATCCACCTGAAACAGATGCTAAACACATTAATATTTCATTTGTTACTTTGCTTTCAGCATTCAACATTTCACCATTTCCCTCAGCTGTAAAGACGGACTCTTTCAAAGACGCCAAGGCTCCCTATGATGAGTGGCCTCTTTCTGTGCTGTCAGTGCGATTGGTCCCCTTTCCTGTTCAATTTTGTGCACCCACGCAAACCTTGGAGTCAATCATTCAGAACTCTCTTCCCGAAAAGGTGGTGGAGGCAGAGTCTCTGTATCTTTTCAAGATAGAGGTGCCAAGCAATGGAGGGGAAAGGTTATTGGAGTACGCACAGCTGTAGTTAAAATCGAATCAGCCATGAACTTATGGAATGGCCTACTCCTGTTCCTAATTCACATGTCTACACAAATCTCCATTATTGTGGAGATTCACTTTCCTTTAGTCGGTAATATAGAAGGCAAGAGTGATGCCCCTCAGTCCTGCTAAAGAAAAGATGTTGTTAAACTTCAAAGGGTTCAGAAACGACCTACAAGGATGCTGCCAGAATTTGAGCTATAGGGAGAGGCTGAATAGGCTGGGGCTATTTTTCCTGGAGCATCAGAGGCTGATGACTTTATGGACATTTATAAAATCATGAGGGGCATAGATAGGGTGAATAGTCAAGATCTTTTCCCCAGGGTACGGGTGTCCAAAACTAGAGGGCATACATAGGTTTAGGGTGAGAAAGGAAAAATTTCAAAGGGACCTAAGGGGCACCTTTCTCACGCAGAGGGTGGTGCGTGTATGGAATGAGCTACCAGAGGAAGTGGTGGAGGCTGGTATAATTACAACATTTAAAAGGCATCTTAATCGGTATATGAATCGGAATGGTTTAAGAGGAATATGGGCCAAATGCTGGCAAATGAGACTACATTCATTTTGGATATCTGGTTGGCATGAATGAATTGACTGAAGGATCTGTTTCCATGCTGTACAGTTCTATGACTCTTGGTGTGGATCAGTGAATTCAGACTGCAAGAGCCTCATGGCCGCTAGAAAGCCTGCCATCACTGGCTTCAGATCACAAAGAACTGACGGGTGGGAACGGTGATGATCAGAACTGGTCTCCCCTCATCTTGTACTCACATTTTACACATTCTTACCAGGCCAGGCCAATCTTTCCCATTGGATTCTTGGCTCTCCGTTGTGGAATGTACTCTGGACCCTGTGGGATTGGCTTTCCAGGAGCCTCTTCTGACCGTAACACTGGTCTGTTGCCATGGTTACAGTGGATGGATTGTATGCTGTTGCGCAGAACTGTGGCCACACAACCGTGCACTGGCAGGGTGGTGCCAGGGGCACAGGCCCCGAACTTGGCCGAGCAGCAGCTCCAAATGCCTGGAGGAAAAAAAAAGACAAATGGGACAAGGCGATTGTTGAAAGGTAAATGAGAGCAATGCTGAGTCCAGGCATCACCTAGCCTGAGGCAGTAACACAACCAGAAACGTGGTGGTAATCTGACTAACCTAGTGAAGCCACAGGCACAGGTGAACACTCTGGGGTCATGGGTTCAAACCCATTTATGGTCACTGACGGAATTTGAATTCAATTAATAAAACTGAAAATCAAAGCTTGTCTAAGTGACTGTAACCGTGAAGACATTTTATTTTGTTATTAAAACCTGTCTGCAGGAAGAATATTATTAAATTGGAGAGGATCCAGAAAAGATTTACCAGGATGTTGCTGGGACTGGAGGGTTTGAAGTGTAAGGAGACTTATGTCACTTGAGGATAGGAGGTTGAGGGGTGACCTTATGGAGGTTTATAAAATCATGGATTAGGTGAATAGTTTTGAAATCTGCCTAGGGTGGGAGAGTTCAGAACTAGAGGGCTTAGGTTTAACGTGAGAGATGAAAGATTTAAAAGGGACCTGAGGGCCAACTTTTTCACACAGACGGTAGTTTGTATGTGGAATGAACTGCCTAAGGAAGTGGCAGACACAGATACAGTTACAACATTTAAAAGACATTTGGTACACGAATAGCAAAGATTTAGGCTAAATGCAGACAAGTGTGACTAGGTGAATTTGGGAATAGGGTTGGCATGGACGAGTTGGACTTAAGGATCTGTTTCCATGCTGTATGACTCTGTTACTGTACATGGTCCATGAAGAAGGAAATCTGTTGTCATCATCTGGTCAGGCCCACACGTGAATGTAGACCCACAGCCATGAAGCTGATTCTTAACTGC